GTGTTACGAACCTGAGGGAGGAAGGCACAGCGGTTAAGTTAAGGGAACGACGACAGCCAGTCAACCCCGCCCTCTTTGTAGAGTAAGGGAGGATCACGTGACCTCCTCGGACCTCTATGCACGAGGAAGGGTCTTGGCAGACTCCTCGTACATAAGCCACAGAGGAAAGCCCCTCGTGCGCCAGCCACCGAGCAATACTCGGACTCCTCTGACCGAGGGCTACGAGCACCATAGGTATATAGCATAGGCAATGTAGCCCTTATGGCTTATTGTGTTCAATTACTTAAGTTACGAGTACAAGTACAATACAAGAGTTACTTGCAGAGACACTGTTCATACCACCCTGTTGCTTCATCCGCGAAAACCAACCTCAAGAGTCTGACACCAGAAGTCTTATATTACTTCCACTCAGATCCTACTCTTAACAAGTAGCTTAGTTTTATAAAGGTAATAAAGGCCCTATCTTTTATTTACTATATTAAAAGAGTATAGGCTTCTAGGTATAACTCTTAAGCAATAGACAAGATAGAAGAAGGCTATAAACTAATTATAAATGTACTAGCAAAACTACTAGGCCTATAAGTGCTAAACTTAGTAATAGTACTAACGTATTCCATCACCAAGCGGGCCACATCACCAAGTGTGCCACTTTTTCTTGGCATCACGAACTTCATGTATGAAAACTTAGATTACTCTACACTAGCTATAGATGCTTCGTACGACTTACTTGTATCTAAAAGAGAATCTTCTTCTACATCTTTCTGGCATGTACGAGAGTTATGGCCTGTCCTCCCACAGGTTCTATAGTGCCGTTGACCTGGTAGGGCCCTTTCTTGACTACCCTCACCACGTGCCTTCTTTGATGTCGTACGACCAGCAGAACTACTTTTAGCTACCTGCGATGCCCCTGCACTAAAGTCTAGTGTCCCACCTGTCTGAATTCGCTTTCTTTTGCGCCCTCGGCGCTTTGTTACTGCTGCTAATTGCTCTTCAAGCTCTCTTACGCGGGCCTTTATAAGCACATTCTTATATAGCATCTCCTCAGCCCCTTTAATAAGCTTTAAAAAGCCTTCTTGTGCAGTAGTTAGCGATCGTACGAAAGACTCTCTTACAAGCTTTGATTGTGACCTAAATTCATGCGAATTACTTAGTATTCTTGACGTCTAGGGTATTTCTAACTAAGCTTCTTGTAGTAGAGTATAAAGGCATACGTTAAGGCGATTAATGACTCTTTGCGCGTTGATAGGGACTAGCCCTGCTGCCTTAAAGGCCTTCTTGTAGTTATTAGACGTAAACACGTCAAAAAACGCGTCTTGAAAGGCTGGAAGGAAGCGCTCCTTATCAATATGCTAGACATGGTAGCGTGCCAAGTCTCGTACGCGTTGAGAGTACTTCTGCTTAAGAGGCAAAAAGCAGACAACGTTAAGTAGCTAAAGTATGTGCGATAAATGAGCAGGCATATAGAGGGTAAGGATCTTTCGTACGAGGTAGTAATTCTTAAATTCTTAGTTAAGGTGGCTCTTATGGCCGTTAAGGATGAGTAGCCTATATAACCCCACCTGACGCGTCTTTGTATGCTCGTCAAAGTGCTTTAACCACGCGAGACTAAGCTTATTGTTCGTCTAGCCGTTCTCTGATACTGAAAGCTTCTAGTCGTACGGTATATCCGCTTCTTCGTACTATGCAGAGATGTGGACGCGTCCCTTGTAGATAATGAATGGCAGGGTAGCGTATCCCGCAGCACAGATGCTCTGGATGACTGTAACCCACTCGCGATTGCCTGGCTGCGTGAGAGTAGGCCTCGTACGACGCTCTGCGCCTGTGACTACCTTTATTGAGCCAATTACGCCCATCTAAAAGCCAGTTTTATCAAAGTTATGGATGTCGTCTAAATGAACTCTATACTTCTTAACCGTCTCTCGTACGAGCTTGAACTACGCGTTAATAATCTCTAGATTCTTTTGTTGAGTTCTCTGACGATCCTTTGCTCGACTAAAGGCTGTTCTAAGCTCGTCTATACGAGTAACGAACCGCTCTGCCCAGCATTTGCCTAAAGGCTCGCCATCTCGTTCGCGTAGTAGTTTCTCCGCCATATCTGCTACTTCACATAGACGGGGGGCAAATCCTCGCGAGTCTAGGTTAAGAATATATCGTACGATAGTTTGCTCTTCAGACTTAGTTAGCTTCTGGCAATTTGGCTGTGTTGTAGGTTGAAAGGTGATTCCTCAAAGCCGCCAAGAGATCTGCTGATGATGGACGTTGTAGGCTGCTGCAGCGCGTTGAATGCTCTTAAACTGGCCTGTACGATAGGCCTGAATAGCTAGAGTAAGCCTACCTTCTTGCTGAGTTAATATCGCGTTCTGTTGTTGGGGTCATTATCTTTCGTACGTGAAGTTCGTGATG